ACGACGACGACTACGACGACGACCACAGCTCAGTCCTCATCAGTGACCATAGATACATCAGCACCGCATTCATAAGTGCTGTCGTGCCGCCGTCCCTTTTCGCATGAGTGCCCCTCTCGATAGGAATGCGTAAATACCCTTTGACTCATAGGCGGTTTAGTCGTGCGCTTTCCCAATCCCGGTGTCAACATCCAAAATACCATCTTCTGTAACCTGACGCAGAGCCAATTCATCTTAGTCTTGCTCTAGGTATCCGCTCCTCGACGGACACCCAAGTCGTGGTCGAGTGGTCGCTGGATCGGTCGAAGGAGCTCTACGTCTTTCTTCGCCTGTTCTTGTTGTTGGTGGTGGTGGCGATGTAGTCCTTGTTGTAGCTAGCGTTGTACATGCCTTCCACGTCCATCATTGTGGTTAGTATGGTCGTTAGAGTATTGCCGTGTGGTGCATGGTCATGTTCTGTCTTTGTTTACAGCTGTCGCTGTGAGGATAATCGTTGCTGCACTTCTTGCAGAGTGTAAAGGCCGTGTCAATGGCTGTTGAATGTTCAGATGATTCAGGAGGATCGCGGCTGTCTATCTGGAAAGGCTTCATACGGGACTATGACTATGACGTTTTGCGCTGTGGGAGCCCGAATAATCCGATCCAGACAATTTATTCTGAGCAGTCCCCAGAAGCTTTGTCTACGCTGTGATCAGCTTCCTGCACGTACCCAAAGTTTGATGCAATCAGGAGCGCGGAGCTTATCACACGGGCTACTACGTCTATGTGTCCGTTGACGGAACGACTTGGCCGAATGAGGACATTGCAAGGGGAATCCGCTCTATGGCTCTTGGGGTCTTGGGTTTAGGGAAGCTTGAGCCCTCCTTGTTGCAGAGGCCAGAGCCCGAGAATACGCTTGTCTCACTCCCACGCCCGAAGATTTGAACCCCAGCCCTAACTGAACCCTCAACCCGGGACCAACCCTAAGCCTCAAGAGCCGCAGACCCACAAAATCTCAGGCAAAGACCGAAGGCCCCACCCCCTTACGTGGAGGATCAGGGAGCTTCGTAAGTAGAGTGTCTTGTGGTGAGCACCCTGCTTGAGGGCATGGGGCTACCGAATAGGCCCCTGCTCCTGCAAGTCGTCGAGTATCAAAGCTTCCGAACAGACTCAACCTGAACTGAAATCCCACGCTTTCATCCCGAGACTCTGGACCGTGGTTGTGACCAGGATCCCCCTTCATCGTGGCTCTCTGGATCAAAGAGTAGCAGCGGAGCTGTCTAACCGTACCGAAGCCTCTTAATAGCATCGGGAGGACACCGGCTACGTCGCAACATGGCAGGATGAGCAGACGACGGAGCGACCTGGCTTCGCTTGTTTGGAGGGTTTCGGGGTTAGGGGATCCAGGGTAATCGTGCAAGGTGTTACCACCTAAGTGGGTTTGTCTTTTTCCTGGAAGCCGGGATTTCAGGATCCGGGCCTGAACAGAGTTTGAAGGTTTTGGTTCTAGGGTTATGGGTTTAGCGTTCAGACGTGTTTGCAACTGTGTTCTTCGGTGTTGAGAGGACTAAGCCTGTCGGTTCTTCGGTTGATGGCGGCTAGTTGACCCTGAGCCCGGAGCTTCAACTCGTAGACCAGAGAGCTGTAGATGGCATACATTCGGGAGGTCCTGCAGTAGAAGCGAAGGGTTCATGATCCGGGCTGGAATTCCTAGATATCAGAAGCTCCAGCCTCCCCAAACTACAACAGGGCTCCTGGAAGAACGCAATTCAAAAAGGGTTTGGCCTCTCTCGTGATCAGCGAGACGAGCAGCTGGCCCGAAGAACGGCAAAGGGCTATGACAAAGTCTGCTCGTCCTAATAAACCCTAAGCCCGCAACCTTAAAGCCTTTAAGCTTTGATGCCCTAGGCACCCTAAGCCTAAACCCTAAGCCGTTCGATCTGAAAGGTACACCATGGACTGCACGCTTACGGCCTTCCTCTCCGGCCAGAGCCGGACGAAGCAGGTTTTGTGGTTCAAGGCTCGGCTTCGAAGCGTGTGGCCGGGTTGGGGCTTTGGGTTTTGGGTTGCCGTTTTGTCGCACCATGCCAGGGAGCACTGGGGTGTTGCATGTTTTTGTGCAGCACAGACCTGTATACATTTACACACGTATATGTACAGACAGAGAGCCAGACAGATAGATAGATAGGTAGGCTGGGGCAGTTTCAGGTGTCGGGGTGGACTTCCAGTCGCATGAAAAATTCTAGTAGCCTGGAACCTCAGGAAGGTCCTACCGCGATAAGTCTGACACCCCAAGCTCGAACCCAAACCGCAGAAGGCCGTCTCAAAACTGACGAGTCTCACGGCAATCAGGACCCAGCAAGTTCCGGTCTTACCATAACATCCCACATCGTCCCCGACACCTGTACAGCCTTTACACCCCAGCATGCCCAACCGGCTGTCAGCAGCTTCTGTCTGACTTAAGCACAGACCTTCCAACTGAACCCTTTGTATGAAGCGGCCCGGCTGCTTTGAAGCTCCCGGAAGTCCTGACCGGGAAGATCCGAGACGGAAGGCATTCCAGAAAGCAAAACACAAGCCTCAAAAATCCCTAAACCGTAAGCCTCAACTCAGACAGTACCTGCAGGTGGCCGCCCGGAGTGCTGCGGGACGAGGCACCTGTGGATGCCCAAGACCACATGAGTCATGAGGCAATCTTCTACTATTCCCTATCTTGAACTTTATGAAGTCTATACGCACTTACGTCCATACACACTTATAGCCAAGCCGGGGAGGTCCGCTCTCCACAGCCATCTCACAGCGCTGCTCGTCGCCGCCGTCGGCGCCACAGAATTTGTCCCTTGGGCTTGGGATATCATGAGCTTTGGGAATTGGGGCTTGGGGGGTTTGGTGTTTAGGGTTTCAGCCAGCTTAGGCTTGTGGATGTAGGGGCTTTGGGTTTTTGGGCTTGGGGATTCCGGATTCAAGGTCGAATTTGGGTGGCTTCGGTCTTAATGGTTCGACGGTCTTGGGCGTCACGTTTTCGGAAGTTCTTGGCCGAGGAAACCGAGAACAAACTTTTGTAGTTGGCAGCGCGCGCAGAAACCCGACACATACTGGAGCAAGAACGCACGAACACGACACAACTCTCATCCACGCTAAGTAAGCAAGGTCAGCAGGTTGGTACAGGTTGTTGCCACAATGCCCATATTCATAGTAGGGATCTTGGCAGCAGGGATCGTAGCATCAGTAGCCAACGATGTTGATCCTGCTCCACAGGCTGGAAGTTGGAACCCAGCCAGCCTGGATTTCACCTGCTTCGCAGCCAAAACGTCTCCCAGATCTCGCTTAACAGCTACATTAAAACATACGAATGGTGAATCAGAGTTAAGTTACGGCAAAAGCAAGTCTTGAGGCTCCGGTACTTGGGAAACCGGAGCCATCCGAAGGACGATGAATATGACCGTCTTCGATTCTAGCGGTGCAACCGGCTCCATGTACGTGGCCCGGCGGACACGTGCGGCTTCCGGCTTCGGAGCTTGAACGGACTTTGGGCTTGAGGCTTTCCGGTCACGGGCGAAGCTTTGCGTAGTTCGAAGTCATTGGTGTCGCAGAGGGAGAGACTCCGACCTTCGTGAGGAGGCAGGTGCAAGTGCAAAGTCAGAACCGTTTCTCATTTCATGGCCCTGTCACTGGGCACCGCACGAAGCCCTGTAAATCATTCATAAGCCCTATAAAGCCCTAGACTCTTGTTGCACTGCTCTGATCTAAGAGGTGGTTTGGGAGGAGCCAGCAGATCTCCACGAGGCCGTACTCCTCGGGCGCCTGAGCTCTGTTTCAGTCAGATTTGTGACTGAGATGTAGGGTTCAGAGCTTTAGATTCTCGACTCGTTAAAGGCTGTTGAGTGGGTTTCGGGTTTGGTGCCTCTCGGGGGTTGGATTCAGGGCTTCGGGCTCTTCACGGGTTTAGGGGGCCATGGGGAATGCGACGTCAGGGCGTCGGGGTTGAGCCTTCGGTGCCTCCTTTGAAGGGATCTGACCAACATATGCCTAATCGCTAATGTCATGTCCGCCAATCCGCTACCAAATCAGGTACCTTGAATCGTCGAGTGACAAGAAGCCCGAAGCCCTGCCGCCTCGACCAAATCGTAGGTGTTTTGCAAAAAAGCAATCAAGGCCGCACCGCAGGGGGTTGCTTGCTCGTGTCCGAAGGTACAATGTGTATGTCGATGACGGGAACTCCTTGGACACGAAGGATATCTTCTACCTGGCAGAGGCGGATTTTCCGAAAACCCGAAGCCTTCGTTTCGGATGGGAGGCCATCAATCTCCTTCGAAGAACACTCCAGCCCCACCTGCGCAAGCCGCAAGCCAAGCGTCGCCTCGATCCTGAGGTTCAACCGGAAAGCAGTGCAGGCCCTGAAACTGGTTTCCCGAAATAAAAATGCAGCCGATCAGAACAAGGACAAGGCTGTACGCTTCTTGTGGTTGACAAAGAACCGTCATGGCGGAAACTCACAACGGCCGCAGTAGCAATCCTCAGCATGGAACTTGCTGTCATGACCATCATGTGTTTCATCATCAACCATCATCGGCTATCATCACCCCGTACTGTCATTACTAGTTTTACTATCATTCTTGTTGTTATTACTGTCAATATTAGCACTACTCGTTTTCGTTTCACCATTATCGGGGCTGAGTCTTTGCCATCGACATCCCAGCAGGTCATTGATGATCCGGAGCGCCGTGTATTCCGCCAAGATCACATCGTCCCCAGCAGAACTTACAAGCAGCGTGGACTGAACTTATATAGAATGTTGTGCACAGGAACAGAAGCCGCATGCCGACTGTAAACCCTTATCTCTTCAGAACGAAAGCCCGGACGCCCAAACCTCGCAGTTCCAAGTAAGGTACAAGATCACCGCCATCACGGAGGTCGGTGAAGGAGATGCAGCGGTGGAGCTGCCTGTCTTGAATTAGCGCATTTTTTCGAAGGCAAAGGGTTTTAGGCAGGGTTAGGGTGTCGGCTTCGGCTTAGAGGATAGGGGCTTAGGCTTCAGGGTTGCATCTCGGTGCTCGGAGTTTTGCTACCGAGGTCTTTGGTTCCTTCCTCCAAGCCCCGTGCTGCGCCGGTCGCCTCTGTGCTCGACGACTGCACCATCCCTTGGTGGACCAGTGCCTTTGGCTTCCTACAATGAAGATAGTATAGTAGACTGCAGTAGTAGCGGCGCGGACAAGTGACATCGACTCATTTTCTGATATTGCTTCATGTAGCGGACTATAACGCTTGTGATACAAATAGCACAGACTAGCTAATGTCCAGCCTATAAGTATACACAATGCGTATGTGTGTCGTCCACTGTTGGCTTCTGTTTGGATGTACACCGGCTGTTTGGGTTTATGCTTGCGCAAAGCTAGATCGTATACAGTCCAGACCTGGGACGCCCACAGCTCGATAGAGAGATAGAAGTGTTGGAAGAGTTTGTTTGTTCCGTACCTGTCAGTTTTATTCCGAAAGTAGCCCCCCCTTTCATCCCTCAAGCTTCCATTCAAGGCAAGGCCCTCTGCCCCTACCCGCAGCGGTATCAACTGACCATTGCCTCCGTGGACGTCCGGGAAGATGCCGACATCACTTCGCCGAGGTTCTGTGGCACTAAACTTTTGAGAAATATTAGGGTATGTTATGACCTGTAGTTTTCTGAAACTCTCACACGGGGTCTTTGGGGTTCAGAGCACAGCTTTAGGTTTGAGGTCTGAGGGTTGGTGCCAAAATTTCGGATAACCATTCAGGATTTGGGGCTCTGGAGCTGGAAGTGTCCAGAGCAGGGGCTTGAGGAATGGGATGCAAGGGTTCTTGTTCCGAATTTCGACAACACCTACCCGTGCCGCAACTCTGCAACTCGGCATGATCTTCTTTGGCGGCACCCCAGGTCCTCGAGTTTTGGAACAGCAGCCCGATGCTTGAAACCCTCTTCATCACGCTTCTTATTTCTCAAGACCAGCAGGGCTCAAATCATCGTCCTCCTCACAATTCTGGAAGGTGTTCCTTTGGTCTCGACTCTCCGCCTGATCCAACGAGCCTGAAACCCTTGCTCCCAGATTCTTCCACATTTTGAGTTTAAGATTGAAATCTTAGGAGAAACCCCTTTTGCCTCAAAGTCGAAGCTCCTAAAGCCCTAAGCCCGGAGCCCCTTAGCGCCTTCGACATCTCTGAGGTTATTCCCCTTCGTGACGGTGACGCAGGGAACCATCCTCGAGGTCACGTCTCTCAGGGGCTCAGGGGAGTTGGGAGCTTCCGAGTTGGAGCCTCTGCATGGTAGGTGGCTTGGTGGCTTCAGAGCTTTTAGGGGTTCAGGAGCATCGCCTCATATACGGGTAGGACTGAATTGCCATTGGAGCTCCTACATCATGGTCATAGCATTATATACACCCCAAAGCCACATTCTACTTATTGACGTCCCTATATATCACTGCCCAAGCCCTAACTCCACTTGGAGGATCATGGGACTTAGTAAGTAAGGTTATAAGTCCCCCAACTATAGTTGCCTTACTTATAACCCTATACTTATTAAGTCCCATGATCCTTTAAGCAAACGCTTGGACCGGAGGTGACCGAGGAGCGCTTGGGGGCCGACGGGCGCATGCAGCTTGGACCTTCGAAGAGACTGGTTTGAGGAAGCAGGAGGTCCCATATAGGCGTTTAAGGGTTCCCCTTTAAAGGGCTCCTTGAAAAAGGAACCCTCCAGGGCCTTAAAAGCAGGGCTCCTAGAATAGATTTATAGAAGTGCTGTAGGGTTTAGGGTTTGACAGTGAGGGCTCCGGAGCTCGTGTCTGAAAGTGTGCTCAACCGGTAAGGAGAAACGTGGATAGGCGGATATGTGCACACGTACTGACTGTACTGATACATATATGTACACTGCGTATATACATGTACATGCCCGTCGCTCCATCTCTATCTCCAAAGGTTTCCATATAGACAGGATGCTGCTATGCACGTAAACACGCTCTCTGCCGCAAGAGAGACACCGCTTGGGCAGTAGAGGGTTTCGGATCTCAGAGTTTAGGCCTTTTATTTATTGAGCTTGAGGCGTTTCGGGGCTGTCAGGAATGAAGGTGCCAAGAACCCTTCAGGGCTTTTACGGCTGCATGATTCGCAGATCCTCAGGTATCTGAGCATCCCGAGCTACGGCGGCTGGCTCTATGACGACACCCCCCTGCACCTGATCCGCACCAAGTCCCAAAATTAAGTCTGCCACGGACGGTCTCCCTGTCCCCCTTTCCTGGGACCGCCAAGCCTAAGTAAGCCCCTAGCCCGAAACCCTCAGCCCCGAATCCTTGAATCTCTTTGGATAGTTTATTGCCAGGAATCCTGGCAGCCCCCTGGCAGAGCGACTGCCTTCTCTGAAAGCTCAGTGGACCTGGCCTGACGAGGAGGAGCGAGACTCTGTGGGTTTTGGGTCTGCGGTTTGCGGCTTAGTCTTTGCGGCTTCGGGCTTTATGAGTTTAGGCTTTGGAGTGTAAAGATTGGACATCGAGGGCTCAAGGAGACAGCCAGCGAGCAACCGTTGAGCTCGTGATTAGGGGAATCTGTCAATGCCATCGCAGCAGGCTTCAAGAGCAAAGGCCATCGAAACAGCAATCCCAAGATCAGAAAAGACCACGCAGTGGTATCAACGCAGCCGTCTTGCTCATGATACTCACTGCAAAGGAAATCACAAAACATATTGCCAGCAATTCCAGGAACATGAGCGGACCAGCAAGACTATATTGATTATCGCAAGCAGTACTACGTCGCCAGCAGCAGACTAGCCACAGTCGTAAGGGGATGAATGGTGGTTTCATCGAGAAACTATTTGATTGAATGCTCCCCAGACGAGGAGAAGGCAATCGGAGGATCTCCGATCACTGCCTGGCGCGTCTACAGATCAACCGATGGCATCATCTGGAGCGACAACTTCACGGCGCCCTGGATGCATCCATGCAATCTCTCTCTCAGACTACTTGAGTAGGTCAATAGCCTGATTCGTGAAGAGGGCTCCCGACCAAGCGGTGCGCAATAAGGCATATCGAAAATCCCGGTTTGAAGGATCTTCATTGCACTTATCTCCTCCGCTTCCAGGAACCGCAATGTGTCCGATCAGAATCGAAGGAGGGGTCCCTAGAAGTAGTGATTAAAACTTAAGAAGCTTGGATGTCAAACTCCAATAATAATCCAAACGAGGCTCAGGACTTCCGCGAAGGTCTGGGAAGAAGATCCGAGCAAATGAAACACCGCTTCCGGGGCTTCGGCTTTGGATGCCTCAACGCTGTCAGTTTCGCTTGGGCTTCTCCACTCAGTTCAGCTTCCTGCAGAGTTCAATCAACTTGCGACAGTATACACTGTACAGGACTATATGCTCAAATCCTCATGCCTAAGATCCCCTGAAACCCAAAGAGCGCCAACTATTTCAATCAACAAGACAAGGCCCGCCAAGTTCCCCCCCAAAGCATAGCTGTAGATCCTAGACCTAGAAGTTCCTAGAGCGAGGCGGAGTTGTCGGCCACTGCCCGGAACGTGTCCATCCCATGCGAAGTCAGCGAGGCCTGTCCCACGGGTTGATGTACTGGCTGTTCCTTAGGTTTCGTTCATTTCAAACAGAATATCAACCTAATGGCCGATTCAGAACATCACTTCGATCATGGGTTCAAGGGGCTGATGCTGTGGGCGTCAGAATAATTAGCAACAGTATGTATGCCCCTATGGCCCCTCTTAGACCATGCTACAATGATACCTTAGAACTTGTGATTTATGGTATAGTGATGTAGGGGTGTATACAGGACGCCGGCTCTGTCATCCCAAAGCCTCCGCCCAAGCTTCCACTTCTGTATGAGTGATGTAGGAGCATGGATCATTGGAGCAGTTTATTTGATGTGGGTGTGTTGATGCATAGCATAGACAACATGGGGAAACTAGTTTTGTTCTTGGTGTTGTATCCACTATTAACCACTGATGAAGTATTCCCTGCGCAGATCACGGTGCCCTTCTGGTTGCGCGTGACGGCTGTGAACAACGTGGGCGAAGGCTGCCTTGCCCGACACGACAGGGATGTGAGGTTGAGCAGGAGGTTCCTTTCAGGGTACCGTGAGGGTGCTAGAGGGTTTAGGTTCAAGAGGGTTTAGCAGGGCTTGATTCGTAGCGGTTTAAACTGTTTAGTAGGCTCATGAGCCAAAGGGTCTCAGAATCAGCGAGGTGCCTCAGGTTCTACAGGCGCAGGGCTGGGCATAAAAGCCCCACGACCTGTGAGTTTCAAGCTCTACAAATGCCGTCGTGGACTTTGAAGCCTGCCAAAGCTGGGACACAACTGAAGGCTAGATGTTGAAGGATGTTCCGGATTCTGCTCAGAACGAAGCATCACCTAGGGTCTACATATGCTTCGATGAATGCAGGTCTTCCCTGGCGCCTCCTTCGCCCTTGTTGTAGCCTATACATAGTGAAAACAGATGTCATGAGTCAAGACAGGGCCTTCTTACGTGAATCTTTGAAGACCAAAAACCCTATGCAGTAAAGCGTGGTGAGCCCCTTATGTAACCCGGTGAAACCTTGGTTAAACCTTATAAGCCCTCTGCAGGCCTTGATAAAACTCCAGCAAAACCCCATCTAAAAGCATCATATACAAGTTTTAAACTAACGCCTTTCAAAGCCCTATAGACCCTATAAAGCCCGATACCACTCCAAACAAAGCGCCCTTGCGCAAGCAATTCAAAAGAGGTCCGCCTTCCAATGCGGCGGCTTTGAGATGCTCCCTTCCACCCGGCCTGCAGCCGGCACCCATCCAGGCGAGGCTTTTGAGAACCTTTGGGAGGAATTCGGGGCTTGAGGGTGTTAAGGGAATTTCGGGCTTGAGGGCAACTAGAATGGTGGCGTTGAGGGAGTTTAGGATTCATGATTTTTTGGTGGTTTGGCCTTCAGGCCTTCGCGTGAGCATTCGGGAATCGCGGGAGATGTTGTGGGTGCGGCTTTGTGGTTGAGGGGGTTAAGGGCTTTTGCAGTTCATTGGTTTCGGGTTTGAGGTTTGCAGAACTAATAAGGGCGCAGGAAGCATGATCAGCTTATCCGTGCGAGGTTTCCGGGATTTTGGAGGTTCGTAGATGTGAGGATCAGGGATTTTGCGTTTGAGTTTGTAAGGACAGCATGATCCTAGTTTGATGCGGGTTGGTGCTGGGCGAGCTCCTTTTCCCACACGCCCCTGGGTTGCGTGTGGGGTGGGCACGACCTGGAGGTTACTACCCAAGTCAGAGCTGCTGTCAGCTCTGGTACTGTCTGTTAATCCGCAACACTGTTGTGGCTACTGGTACAGGATCACGACTGCAAGTGACTTATGAGCAGTACCAAGCATGATTATGACTGTCAGTTTGGAACATGTCGAGTCTATCGCAACGCTTCTCCGACGAATTCCTAGACTTTATACACCCTGCACGGCCCTACGCCCTTCGCTCGGTAGGTGGGAAGTGACATCACCTCCATCCTTCTGGAGTTTCAGCCTGCGGATCTCCACAATGCGACGCTCTTGGGCCACATATTGACACCCGGAAGCGATTCAGAAGATCTTGTATTGTGGAAGCCATAAGAATGACGCATCGTCTTGGCACACGGCTTCTGTTGCAGTCTCCGATATTAATCAGTATGGTGCCTGTAGTGCCCTCAACGGGATGAGGTGTCCCTAGCGTTTACGGCCGATTTTCAAATCAGAGGTGAAGCTTGTTAGTCTTCATTCAGAGGAAGTTGGGGGGTAAAACCTGGGGTGTAAGTCGGTGTAAGGATGTGGGCTCAAGCCGTACTTCGAGATATGATTGCTGTGCTGTTTTGGCTTGGACTTCAACCCTTCCGGAGCATGTTGACATTAGACCACTGACCTGAAGCATCCCCCGGAAGATACAGCGATCGTAGCGCCATGTAGCTTGTAAAGGAAACAAGCTTGAAGTCCATTCGGCCAGTCTTGCTGGTGTGTCAAAGACACGACATGCTGCTGCTGACAGGCTGTACATCGCACAAGCTGGCGCTTCTTTGACTAGAGTCTAGTCTAGTAGCTTGTCTTTCTCGGACAGCTCTGTGCATCTAAGACTCACGAACCCTTAGAACACAGTCGAAGCCGGGGGACCCGAAACCCCACAACCTAAACCCAAATCCCGAAACAACCCTTCACCCTAATCCCTAAAGCCTATCATGTGCACCAGGACCTATGCGCACTACACCGACGGACTTCATCTCGAGGAGAAGTCGGTGCACGTCTCCACCCTCCACCCGCGCTACAACGTGGCTCGCCTCTGCTCACTGATCCCCCCCCCCCCTTGTCCGGATAGTTCATCTGGACTTAGGGTCTATCTTGTGCGGAGCGTTTGGAGTTCTTCTTGGAATGGGGTTTAGTTTGGGTAGTCTACCTATCGTCACTCATGCTCTCAAATGCCAAGGTCCCTCACGAAAAGATGTGAGATTCAGGGAGCAGGGCAGCCACATAGGATTTATCAAATTGCGTTAAAGTCGTCAAGTTTGGGATCTCCACATTTTTATAAGACTGGCCTAGCGGCGAGGGGTTGGAAGCGACGGGGGATATCAGTCCAAAGAATCCCCCTAGAGGGAGCTAAAAAGCAGGGAAAGGGGGCACCTCTGACAGATGCGGTCGAGGCGTGACCTTACTTTCTGAAACTCTCAATGTTCCTTTCTTAGAGGGAGCTAAAAAGCAGGGAAAGGGGGCACCTCTGACAGATGCGGTCGAGGCGTGACCTTACTTTCTGAAACTCTCAATGTTCCTTTCTTATTGCTTCTGGTGGCTGTGGAGACACGACCACGGTTTCCAACATCTAGCCAACATGCTTGATAGAAGAACTTAAGGGTGCTTTGATCAGAAACTTCATTCAAGGTATATAGAAGCACCTGGTTAAACTTAGCCGTACACCATAAAGATCTGCTTAGGTCACGGGCCTGCGGGCCTGGCATACGTACACCTTCAAGGTGCAAGCGATGCTGGGCTGCACATACCCAGCTTATGGCGCAGAGTTGGGGGTTTGGGGCTTGGGCTGGGGGACTCTGCGGCTTTTGCGGCCGCAGGATTTAGACAGCACTTACACTAGACTATATTCCTTAGTCGCTCCTCGGACGGAGCCGCCTTGAATCCAATCCTCCACTCACTCCGAGTTTTTGTGGGCCCGAAACCCAAAAGGCGAGGCCTAGAGTCCTGCTGAGGATCACGGAGTCGGGCATCTCTCCGGACCCCGATTGGCAGGTGAACATGAGCACAGGCTGGGGATCCCCGAGCCTGAGCTCTCAAAGCGTGCTTTCCCCCAGGGTCTCATGAGGGTCGTCTCAAAGGATAGGACCGTGCGTTTCGTTGGGTTTGCGACTTCGAAGCTTGAGGCGTCGGGGCTCAACACGTCCTCCTTCGCGCTAAACAGACGGCTACAGGCTAGGGCCAGGAGAGCTCGACTTCAAGTTCTTAGTTGCGCATGAGCGTCGTTCTTGTCAGCTTCCGGCATCGCTTGTCCCACATGTACTATTCTGCATTCCTGAGCTCCGGCATGTGGGCGGGAATTGCAGTGGAAGTGTCAGAAGCTGTTGAAACCTTATAGAAGAAGCAAAGTGCAGTAGTCAATCACTTTTGCATCCAGGCACTGGGACGCAAAAAGGCACGCAAGAAAGTCCTGTTGGTCAGACCTTGAAGTGCTGCACGTGACGTGTTCGCAGGTTTCTGGCCAGAGACATCAGAGAGCAGCGAGCTCGATAGGCTCAGCACTGACGCTTGATTCATGCCGGCGCCTCTCCGATGACTTGCAAGCACCCGGAGCCGGGTTTGCCCGACCCGGCCATCACCGCACGTCATCGGCAGCTTCCACAGAATCGGCCTCAAGTGCGGGCAGTGCCGGGACAGCCTGCACGATTGATGTTCATAATGCCGGCGACATTGAGGGTTATGTTGCCTATGGAGTCGAACGTGTGCTGGCTTGGCTAGACTCTGTGCCCACAGACCCCGAGCCACAGGTGAAGGTTCAACCACACCGGGGGGCAGAAGAGAAGGCCGAACTGGTGCGTCAAGAATTATTAAGCCATTTCCTCAATTATGATCTTGATAGCCCCAGAGTGTCAGTCAGCCCGAGTGCAAGCATTCCTGAGTCACCGGTGCCATCGTCGGATTTTGAGGACGCGGTGCAGGAAAGGGAGTTGCACAGGGAGTCCACGGTTTCGGTAGAACGCTGCCGATGCGGAGACCGCCCGGTGGTTTTCAAGAAGTACTTAAGAGGCACAATGCCTACGTACCGGAACCTCCTGGAACAGCAGGTCTACGAGCTGAACTTGTACTACAAGGATTTGAAAGGCATCAGCACTGTGGTTCAGATTCACGGTCATTTCTTTGATCCACTCCACAACATGACGTTCGTGTTTCCCGATCTTGGTACCAACCACTATCCTACAAACACGGACGGCATGATCAGCTACATGAGACAGATGCTTGTGGGACTGGATGCCTTGTGGCGTCGAAACATTGTCCACTGCAACATCAAAGGAGGCTCCAAGCCAAATGCGAGTTTTGATTCCCACGGCAAGCTGACGCTCATCGACTTCGAGTCGGCGGTTCGGCGACATGAGCTCATCGACCAAGGACAGAACGGAATGCTGAGCTACCGAGGAAACCCTTACTATGTCGCACCAGAGGTCTTGGTGCCACAGATCGGAGAAAGCCCATACGGCCAAACTAGGTTTGGACGCCGCAGGGACGTTTTCAGTGCGGGCATCGTACTCGCAGAACTGATACTGGATGTGCGTCATCTGTTCGTCCTTGATGACGATTACGACATGATCATCGCAGCCCACGAAGGTTTGCGAGACAAACTTGAGTGCAATGATCCGCATAGGGCACTGCTTTGGTACGGAGGCTTCATGACAGATGACGATGATTTTAATGAATTGGGTGCTGATCTTGTGGCGAAGATGCTCGCGTGGCATCGGACTGATCGGCCGGCGCCAAGAGAGCTTCTGAATCACGAGCTTTTTTGGTTGCGCCACCTTCAGGACTAGCATTCAGCTCTGTCGGTGTTGGAACCTGCTCGAGCCTACGGCTATGGAGGAATAACTGGAGCGCAAGAGCTCCAAGCTTGAGCTGGCGGAGATGCTGCAAAGCATGCAGAAGTAGCCTTCGCACCAACACTTGCAAATGTGCAGGCATGCCCTCAATGCCCAACCTTGCTTGTCAGCCCCTGTCGTTCAATCGGAAAGTAGGCATTCCAAACCTGCCATGGGGCATTGAATCTTGATGAAACTCCACCACCCCTGAGGCCAATCAACACACCCATGTGTTGCAGGTGTTTCCGAGACACCGGATCCGCCGACCTACGTGTACTCTGACGGATCCATCTTGCGCATTGGCTTCTCTTCACTGACGCAGAACCGGCAGTGGAGTGACCTGTTTTGACAATGTTCGGTCCGGCCGCATTGGAGTTCGGGGTTTCTGTCTGGACAACTGAAGTCCTTGAGGCGGTTTCTTGAGATGTGTTGCGCTCCGGAGCCCTCGCAACCTGCGCAAGACCGGTGCTTACGAGCTCCGCATGTGCTACTCCCGGATTGCAGAAGCGATTTCTGGTGACCCTATCTGAAAATCATGTTACGACAAAGGCTAAAGGCCGCACAGTCCCTCGATCCCGGAGTTTCCCAAAATTCCTAAACCCATGAGGTGATGGTGCCGACGTACCTGACTACAACCTTTACATTACGGCGGACGATCGCGGCTGGCCCGATGCAATGATGCCTGCACAGGTGAGCCCTCCTGCAGCCGAGTTAGGCAACCAAACCCCGAATCCCGAATCCCTTGTGGTTCTGAAACACTTGGGGTGAGGGGAGGGGGTCATATTCGCTTACATCCGGAAGTGGCAAGCTCCGTTGATCTAGAGCTCCCATGCCAAGTTTGAGAGTGCTTCAGTTTGCAGCTGGGTGTCAACGCATATCCCACCGGCTCTGGGCGAGCGTCCGCCTAAGCCAAGCATACTTCCGGGGTCCCAAATCGCACATCGGACTTGTTTGACTGTGTTTGTTTGGTCGAGGATGAAGGCTATCCCAGACCTTCTCTACCCTCAGCCTCAAAAAGTGGCCTTGCAATCTGTTCATACGGGTCGAGCAGGCGACAGCGAGAAGTTCTGACTCAAGACAATCTGCTGTGGCCGCGCAAAGACATTTCCTAATCCTAAGTGTCCTCAACTGATGAGCATTTGGCTTCAAACTAGTTTTTGGAAAATCGTCCAGCAATGTAGGCACCTTCCGGGTCCTCTCCCATCCGAGCCTTGCAAAGAGACGCGGAGGTGCTCAGCAGCCTCAGCGGCTACACGCAACCGTGCGGCACTGATTGTCTGTTACGCCGCTATGCATCGCGTGCTCACAGCCATATGTTAAGTTGCATGAGAGCTTCCGCTCCGATGTTGTTCGTACTGGACTCAGCAACACAATCCTCGTGTGAACGCTAAGCTCGAGCAAACGATAATCTGATTTTCTACCGGAAGGACTTCAAGCACCTATGACAGATTGCTTTGGACTGATGGCCGGCTAACGGCTTGTACATAAGCACGTTAGCTAAATTGACACATTTCATAGCCCTCCACCTTTCTCACTACCCATGCACCTTAAGTAGCTGCACCTGATCGCAGACAGGTATGAGCACGATTGCAGCCAGACGCCAGATTACGCACAGGTCGACCGCGGCTCCTCTCAATGGCTCTCTGGTTCAGTGCATCAAGTTGCACATGCTTCAGGGTTGACGGATTTCGGGTTTTTGGGGCTTGGGGTCGAAGGTCAGAGAACCGGATCGCCCAGGGCCACCAGAAGCGGCAAATCAGATCCTGCTTTTGGCATGAGACAGCAACAAGACTCACCACACTCCATGGACACCCAAGGTGATGGCAATCCTGCCATCGTAGACCAGACGTTCGGCTACGTGTACATGAAGGCCCTACATTGGTATGGGATCAGTGATTGTTAGGTTCAGCCCTTTTCGGATCGTATGGCCAAAGGTACCAGACCCCTACAAATCCCAGAGTATCCGAGACCCTTGAACCCCAATCCCCCGAATGAAGGTGTCAGCTTTCCGGTTTCAGGCGCATGGATACATGTGCCCTGAAAGCACAGCACAGACCTCCTCAATGAGAGGAGACCTGAGATTCTTCCATCAGTCCTCATCTAGCACTTTCGCATGAGCTGGCATGTTGCCATCAAAGATGGGCTTGGCTTTCACTGGAAGCTGACAGCGGACATCCTTGGAATCGTAATTTGGCCATGCATCTCCCAGCCAGTGCAATCGCTCTGGCAACCTGCCCCTGAACCCCAAGACAATTTTGAGAAATAAGTGAAGGCCCTTTGAGAGTAGAGATGCCAGAAGCCCCCAAACGTAGGGCCTTGGCAGGTCTCGCTGACAGCCGCCTCAGGGTCTGGCGTCCTTTGACTGAAGAATTCTGGAGAATCTCGAAATTCTTCTTGGTTGACTTTAGGAGCCTGAATAGCAACCAAGAGTGTTGGATAGGGTTCCCTGGCATAGTTATTCTGTGCTGTCATGGACCCCAGAACCCTGTTGCTAAGCAGCCTTTATTTTAGTTATTTTAGGGCCTCGGGGGTGGCTCTTCGGGTTGTAGGGTCGGGGTTGGGTCTTAGGGTTGATGAGATGGGAGGCAGCTCTAGGTCCTTGGGCTTATGAGTCCAGACATGCATTGAAACGAATCTCTCCATGCAGACTCGCCCGGAACTCTCAAGATCTGAGCTCCCAGCTCGCGGCTCTGTAACGAAAATGCTACCTCAGCCACGAACCGTCATTTCATTCCCAAGGCCCTGAACGTTAAAAACCTGAGTATATCTTGTGGGAGATTTAGATTCGCTACGCCTATGTAAGTCTCAGAGCTTTCGTGTGACCCCCAGCCCCAATGCATCCCCAGCTCAGGACCTTTCCATCCCCGCGACGCTCTTTTGCTCCCCGCTGCCGGCGCAACCCGTGCCTGGGCGATGAGTTCAGTTCCGAAAGTAATCATGCCGGGATTACTTGGAGGATCTTGGAGGATCATGGGACTTAGTAAGTATAAGGTTATAAGTCCCCTAATTGGGGTTATAAGTATAGTTACCTTAGTTCTAACCCTACTTACTAAGTCCCATGATCCTTTACGTGGGGATTCAGGTGTTGCGGGGGTTTATAGGGGCTTCACGTTCCAGGGTTTGCGGCTGAAGGTCTCCACACAGGGCCCTGGGCTTCCGATCTGGAGCTGAGGTTTGAGTTGTCTGGGCTGTCAGACCCACGAAAATCCATTAGTCAAGCAATGTCCCCTAAACTTTTAAAGATGGGGCTTGAATCTTGAACCACTACTGACTGAACTTCTGTGAGAAATAAGACCTGCTTTGCCCAGGTCGTGACAGTGCGGTCCTCCGACGCGCGGCAGATCCTTGGCGGAGTTTTTTGTTCTCGCCTCTGCTGCCCCCACAAATTCCCAGCATCCTGGTGACAACCACGCTCTGTACTCCGAACCGAGGGCTGCGGGTTCATATCGTTTTGCTGTGTTTGGGATGACGGGAAGAAGCCACGACGTGGTAGAAGCGGAGCTTCGACGCCATACCCAGGATCATGATCACCTGGCCATCACCGGAGCTCTTCGGCGCTCCCCTTCTGGGGTACAGGACCATTGGATGCAGAGGTTTAGTTGTAGCTAGGTGGCACCTGTAGGGTTGGACGATGTTGAAGCTAGCAGAACGTAAGTGGATCTCAGGGTTCGGCGAGTAGGCTGAGGTCACCTCCACCTGAAGATCCAAGAGTCCCCCTCGCTTCATCATCACTGGCAGTTGCCTTGGATCCAGTAGCTCTCGCAGTTTCAAGTCATTTCTTCGGTAAGGTTTGGGATCCGGCAGAAACGAGGCTCCAGCTTGCCGCCGACTCGGTATACAGGGAGCCAGACCCTAATGCCTCGCCCTAAGACCGGTTTACAATCATGTGATGGGGTTTCTCCTGCCATCAATCCCGGGTCTTTTCATCTCCCGAAACCTTTGGAGCACCTTTGCATAGTCTCAGAGAGGATTTACATGGACGACGGCATGGGGGGCAACCTGGACCTCTACAGGGAGCTGGCACCAGAGGAGCCCTTGTCTTTTTTTTGGAGCGTAGGAGTATGGAGTCGGCTGATAAATCGGGGCCTGTCGGGGTGACTTTGGGCTCTCTGCAGGAGGGGGAGACTGAAAACCTGCGGTCCAAGTCATCTAGAAGAATCTGGTTGATCAAAACTCGAGTTTACGGGTGGTGAAGACCCAGATGAATAAATCTCTTTTCTTTAAGGGGTCCTTGGTTTGGAATCCTTATTTAAGGTAGGGGTAAATTGTCTTCATCTCGAGCCGCCTGTGAGGACGTCCTGGAACCCTTAGACGCCCCGCACCGGAAGCCCGCTAGGGTTTATGAGGGATGTTTAATAGGGTTTAAGGGGTTCCTAGAAGGGCAATATCAAGGTGCTATGGGGTAGGGCTTAGCAAGCCTGACCGCGACATGCACCTTCTACCGGCTTCTTGCCTCAACTATCAACGCAACCCGACTTCTAACTGGACCGTCGGACTGTCTTGAATCCCATGCCCCCAAAAGCCCCCCTAAATCATAGAACCCCAGACCAGAAGATCCCGACTGTCCCGCACGCAGGAAGTGGCCCTGGACGAGAACAACGAGACCGTGATCCTGCCCCTCTATCCTCTCACGCCGGGAAGGTCTGGAGCTGCTCTAACGAATCAGAGAGTGATATCTCAGGACCCAGGTCATCAGTCTAGTAGCAGAAGCAACTGTAAGTTAATCGCGTCTTCGAGAACGGTACCACTGAAAAGCTTCCTACTGCGATTGTGGGCATAATCAGAGCAGTAACGTTAAGATTGGTAGCACTGGCAGCTCTAGGAGAATCTTGACACTATCTGCTGCCAATGCAGTAGGAATACCATCACTGGCGGCTCGAGGTGTTTCACACTCTTCTTGAGTGATGCTTCAGAGTTTCTGTGTAAAGTTCGGTGGCCAAACCCCTAAACCGAATGGGAATGGTTTAGGATGTAATTCCCTTTCAATTACATCCATTGCGGTTGCCGCGCAGCCAGAACCAAGCACAGCCGCACACTTCTTGTACTAGCCCACTGCCCTGTCGCAGGTGGTTCCGACTGCAGGTCAGTACCCTGACGCCTGCCGGCGAGTCCGCTCCAAGTAGCCCCTTGGACATGGCCTGGATCTGAAGTCGAGCGTCCCGAGGCCTCACCCTTCAGAAGCCCGAAGCCGATAATCCCCGAAGACCTCGTAGCCGAACGTCCAAAACCCGAACTCTACAATCTACAAGTCGCTAAATTCCCGAAAAGTGCACGTACCTCGCCCAAAGCCCAGCTCCGCGAAATCGCCATGGAGCACTTCAGCCTACCATGCCACCAGAACTTCTTTCTATCGCCTGAAGAATCCACAGATGGCAACGCTCTCGCAATTGCAACCGAGGCATCGTGAATGCGCAAACTTGCCGCTCAGCCGCAAATGTCTTCTTGCCTGCCGTGGCAGGTTTCCTCGTTTCGCACCGTTGGGTGGTGATCCCAAGACAAAGCCAAAATCCCTTTATAAGGGGCGTCAACGGCCTGTCGGTTCTCGGATGGGAAGACTCTTTTGTCATGTTTCCGTTTTAGACCACTGCTTTTTGCAAAGTGACTTGGGGGGTTTTATGCTGGCTATGTGAGACCCTTGCCGCGAGTGCTCCCACCTTGAGGCGAAGCTCCACCCACGCCGGTGATCATGCACCTGCCATCTGCGACGTCCGTTCACCTCAGCTGGAACGCCTCAGCCGCAGACCACGACTATATTTGTGCTGCCTACGGCCGCCTGGACGAACCAATGAGGGAGGCGTTGTCGTTCTAAGAGCTTCAATGTTTCTGAAGCTCTTCGGATTTGCTCCTGAAAATTTGCAAACCTTGAGGCCCAATGGTAGAAGTTGCAGTGGAGCATTTTCGGATCCCGAAATGCCACTAACAGCCAAACCGCACGTCTCTGACAACTGGGACACCTGAGGAAACTCGGAGTTACAGCAACGCGCATCTATATCATGCTGTACGTATACATGGCCTGTTCATATGCACATACACAGTATAGACATATATATATATATATATATATATATATATATTTATAGCCATATATATATACACACACGGGCACTTCTGATCGTGTGTATCCATTCCCGGATACAAACAAAAAACAGGTGATACTGATAGTAGTGCGAAAGTCACAGCAATGCCTAAAAACCCTAGTTTTTGGGGTCTGATGTTCCGTGGCCGTGGGCAGTCACACCATAGACGCGTGTGACCCTGTTTACCTGACCCTTACGGGCTGCAGAAGCCCTTGCTTCCTGGAGAACAAGTGCTATAGCGCTATAGGTCCGGAAGACATCCTTAAGCAAGGGTGTCACGCGAATTGTGTATTATATTCGTATTGCGTAAGCAGCTGCACCACTGCCTAAAGTCTCAGCCCGGAACCTGAGAGGCTATCAAATTCTCATCAACTCCAGCGACGGCCTCAACGAAAGTGATGTCCTGAACGCCAGCGTGATGTCCTACGAGCTCCAGGGCTTGGCGACTTGGTGTCATGCAGGGCTTTCCGACAGTCGGGCTCTCGTGGTTTGGGGGTTTAGGGTCGAAACACGAACCCAAGGCTTTGGTCTGGCCCAGCTGCCCTGCCCGAAACCCCTAATCTCTACTAAGAACCATTAATGGAAGTCTGAAACCCAGGTCCCCGGCACCCACTACGACTTCCAAGTGCGCAGCCTCGTGGGCGCCCGCTTCCGCGACAGCGGCTGGAGCTCCACCCTGGCAGGCCTGGTGTGTGTTTGCCTTCCTTGTGGGGTCGAAATGTGCTAATTACTGCTTACTGCAGCTGCACTGCTCCCTCTTGAACTGACCGCACATACACCTTGACTCGACATTCCATCGGATGCGATGGCTAAGTTAAGTGAGTTTCGCCTCGCTTCGGGCTGTCTGAAACCGACCCGATGCAGGCGGCGTACCTAGCCAGATGCTCCCGCCTGTGCTGGTCACCGACTTGTCCACTGTGAGCGTCGCCTACGTCGGCTGGACCGCTGCAGGGTTTGGGGTTTGAGGTCATTTTTCGCAGCCTCTCTATTCCGACCGACCATAACCATTCACGGCCCGTGCCTTAAACTCTCAGCAGCTGCTTTGTCCCTACCTGAACCGGAACCCTCAACAGAAGCAAAACCCTGAACCCACAAGCACCGAACACTGTAGGGCCTCTTGAAGTATGCCTTAGGGAACACACTGAACCCCAAACCCTAGATCGCATTCCCCTGTACCATAGCACCCTGATAGGAATCCTTTGGTACAATCCAAACTACGCCCCAAGCCCTCAACCCTAAGTCTCTCTTTAGGACAGCTCCCGACATGAACTTCGGGGTGCCCGTCGGCTACGAGTTGCTCCTGAGCCTGAGTTCGGTCAGTGTTCCCTTAAGGGTTCTAAACGCTGCGGTGCAGAGTCTAGGGGACTGAAAACTGGTCTGTGCACTATTCCTTTGTCTTCCTTGATATCCACATGGTTGCAGCAGTGCAGCACAGTAGACCAGTATCCTTTCCACGGTCCGAAAAATCAGCAAGCCCACTGGGCAGGTTTACTGTAAGGTTCCATGATGGGTTTTCAATGTGCACGGTTTAGGGGTTGCCGTCGGGTCTGAATAATTAGTAGTACTCTTCCATGGGGGTCCTCGGTCATTATTATTGATCGTATAGAAATCGCCAAAAAACCTTAGTCTGAAATTCAGGCTTTTCTATTGCAGATTCTTGCTTGGGGTTACGCCGGCTTTCCATCATGGTCCGCAGCCATACCGAAGCTGGGACCATTACCATGGTGGTGAGTGTTCTGAGAAGTCTTGGCCTCTTCCAGCTTCTTGCGGCCATTACCCGTTAGAAAGCCAGTCTGTGACATCGTGAATCACTCTGCCCATACCCACGACTCTGCCCCCGCCTTCAAAGAACAGAACAGCCTCAGAACAGCGGAACCCACAGCGAGTCTTATTCAGAGAGGGTCGATTGATAAGGGAATTCTACTTGGAGGATCATGGGACTTAGTAAGTACGGTTATAAGTCCCCTAATTGGGGTTATAAGTATAGTTACCTTAGTTATAACCCTACTTACTAAGTCCCATGATCCTTTAAGTATGTCCCAGCACTGAGGTACAGGGACGACGGCCCAGGAACCAGGATGCGCACGGAGCCCGACTCGTCTTGCACTGCCACCACATGCGACGGCTGATTGCACTTAGCAAGCGATTCTTGCGGGGTCTTGGGCATGGTCCGAACCTGACACCGGATGGCGTGCGTCTCGCTAATTCCGGAGCCCGCCTGAAGCAGTCGAGATAGGTAAAGCACACACAGACACACACACACA